TAGCGACGCACTAATCATATACTGACCAATACTGACGTCCAACCTACTGACGTCCGAACTTACTGACTTACTGACATACTGACCTACTGACTACTGACCTACTGACTTACTGACCTACTGACCTACTGACACACTGACCTACTGACATACTGAACACACTTGTATATATGTAGCTAGTAGCTATTGGTTTGCGCTGCTGTCGAATGTCCGTAGAATACAGGATAATATATATATTATTTATTTGAATTATTTTATGGGAATTATGGGGTGCTCGCGGAATAGCGGCATTGTCCGGCCCGTCCACTGAACCTGGCGTGGCGCAGGTCACCGGGTGCCAGGTTTTACCCAATGCCAGGCTGAATCAGAAAAGACCCGGCGGTGCCAATTCGGGGAAAAACCCGGTCCATCCTGGGTTGAGCGTGCTGTTTGATGAACCCGGGTTGAACTCAATCTCAGCGCCGCCTGTGTATCATCTTTGATTTCAATCAGCGCTTGTGTACGTCTCATGGCTTCCTCCAGCTCGCCGTTGAATGTGGTATGTCACGAAGAAATCAACGCAGCACTTACTAAACTTGCCCCAAGGCGCACCAACATGCTGCGAACGCGGACGATTATGTCGCACAAGGTCTCCTAATCCCCGCAGCGGAGGAGCACTATAAGGCTGCAGAGGCATTCTTAGTATGTGTAGAAGCCGCTACGGATGATAACGTACGTGTTCTGTTCATTATGTGGCCTTTTCGTGAGTGACCTGGAACCGGTCATGTAGACGAAGCGAACGCTGCGCATGCTCTACAACGACCACTCAAAGGCCGGGAAAGAACTTCAGAGGAGAATAGCCAAACTCAGAGAAGAAAACAAAGATCCAAATCTTCCACAAAAGTTGACTAGCCATGCAAGTACTTCTGGAACGATCGCCCCTCCAACTGCGCCGCCTCAAGTGCCATCGCCGCCCCCGCATGCCCGCAATAGGATGTCTGAGTCACAGCAAGCTATTGAAGAGTCTTTTATGGTCCTCGGGCAACGGGTGAGTGTCCTCTCTGCATAGTTTCTACTCAGAAGGTGCTCCTACCATCAGAGGGCGACTCTACGCATTGCTTGTGATTGCAACGGCCATCCTTAGAGCGAATCTACGCATTGCTTTAAGCACTGGGGGATGTCCGTTGCAATCACGCAGCAAACACGGGCTGCACCCTCTCTCTTCTCGTGTTTCACGAACTTACAACCTTTGGAGCTGTTCGGCCACCCCAATTGCCCGTACTTTGTAGCGGTATTCGACCTGTCCAGGGAGCAGACCTTCACCCCAGGGCATCTCCAAAGGGTCCAGTGTGGTATTGTGCGGACTGATCACCTTTCCGATCCGGTCGCGTGGCTATACTGTGTCTGCCGCACATTCCGCGGAGGGTGGCGTTGCACTCGCTGTTCGCACGCGAGTGCCACGCTATCCTAACCCCCGCACATCTGTCATGACCACGGCTCAGCCGGCCAGTAGCGTGAAGTTTATTTGCCCCTGCCTTTGGAGTAACTTGAGTCCGTTACAGAGGGTCCTCGTGCAGTTAGAGCTGGCGAGGTGGTATTAACCTGTCCAGCTACTCTTACTGGCTGATTACACTTTCGGGTGCCCCGGGCTTCCCCAATCACTGTCAAGAAAAGTACATATCCCCCCAGGCACTGTTCCTGTCTTCTTCTGGTAATTGCACCAACGAAGCCAATCACTGGCATTTACGCCGTTAAAGGCTAGATCGCAAGAGTTTAATCGACGTTGGGTGTATGCTTTTACATTGCACAGGTCCCTACAGGCACAGACGTCCTACGGCGAATGAGAGGCCTCGTGATACCTCTTCTGCTTGAAGTTCTTTGGGCAGCACTCAATCGCTTATGTGAAGGCCGCTCGTGTTGGTGCCTGTTGCATTGCTCTGTCAGACAAGACACGCCGCCTGAGATGCAGCCTGGGCTCCACGTATCGTAGATCAAAGCTCCGACATAATTCATCACAATGCTGATGGCTTATGCGCTGGCTAGCATGTCCATTGTTTAACTTCATCGCAAGGCATAAGCACGTTGGTCTGAGCATGCCTGTGCTCGCTGCTTTGATCTCCACTCTGTTCTATTTGTATACATTACTGATGATCTACCACAGAGCGATTCAGGAGACCCATTCAACCAATTCTGGAAAATCACCGAAGGCATGCTGGATTACCTCTCTCAGCCAGTCGCCTTCGCCACCGCACCGCTTGCTCCGCCGACACCGGAACACACACCTCGCCTGCGAGACGCTAGCTCTAGCAGCGACACTGACATAGAAGATGCACTATCCAGAAGGTTGTCCCGTGGAATCGGACTCGTTAAGGCGGCGCGGTCGAGGATGCTTACACGCAATGATTCTCCAGCAACAGTATCAAAGTCTGAAAGCGGCCGAGCGGGACGCTCACATTCGTTTCCTCCACAACCACAGGACGTTGGATCTGCGGGTGCAGGGGATGACTGGGACGATGACCTCGGCCATGATGACGGTAGGCATAGCCACTCGAATTCTGCACTGAATTTGCAGTGATGTTTCGTATGTCAGATGATATGGCCGACTCGTTTTGTCTAATCCCGTCAAAGTCAGACGCGGTGGCGAAAGCCCTTCAGGAGGAGAACATCGCACTCAAAGCCGAACTAGAGACGCTCCAGAAGCGTCTCGCGTCAGCGGAGGGTATGCTGAAAATGCGTCAAGAACAAGATCAGCAGTTACGAGATAGCATACTGCTTGCAAGAAAAGAGGTGCGCCACACTGCCGCTTGCCCTGACATTCTCTTACCAATGTTCCTAGGCGCATCGTGCCATGGTGTCGTCAAGCGTGGTCCCGCGGCCGACGCAGGCGCCAGTCGACCTCGCGTCCCTGAATATCAACGTACCGCCCATCCCTCCGGCCGTCGCTGCGCTCAATCCCGTAAACCCTGGGCGAGATCGAGAGGCGCAACTCGTACGCAGGGTACGTGAGCTCGAAGATGAGGTGCGAATAGTCCGTGCAGAGAATGAGAAACAGGTATGTGCATCTCCGCGGGTGACACCAATGACTCTGATGTGGTGAGAGCAGAAAGCAATGATCGTGCGGTTCCGCGAAAGGTGGGAGAAGCTCAAGGAATCCTCCAAGCGCAAAAAGGAGGCGAAGGCTGCTGCTCAAGCTACCAACGTCGTGGATGACCGCATTGATGAGGAACCTGAGGCCGAGGCTGAAGCAGAGAGATCCGAAGCATAGTTGGTAGCAACATCGTGAAGGCGTGAAGGAAGACCTGCATTGCGCATCTCATATATGATCTTTATGTCTGAATGTAGCATTGTATCAATATCTCTAACCCGGATGTATACAAGTCTCTCGTTTTGGTCCGTGATCCTACATACTGATATGTGGCTCGTCTGAGGCGATTTGCACGGATTGACTGTTGTATGGTGTAGTCCTCACCTTTATGGATAGCATGGATGATGTTTGCTGTTGCATCCTCCTACCGGTTCTTTACGCGAACAAACCATAATTGACTATCCGCAACGATCGTGCTGCGAGCTCGAATGTGCTTCGAGCGGACGTCAAACCGGCCTCGTCCACACCAGCTCCATCCGTGGTTCGAGTTGGAACATTCATCGTCAGCACCAGGTCAACATTATGATCCTTGATCCGATATACCGCCATGAGGATGTGTATTTCGTCGGGTTGGGTGGTGTTAAATTTGCGCACAAGCTGCGTCCCCGATAAGATTGTGAACGCAAGGTTCGCGGAGTTGCTGTCCTCCAGCACTTGAGTAACGTCGAGCACTGTATTTTCTTCGGCATCGTTGTCGTGTGCTAGCGAGTCAAAGTGGAACCTGTTCGACATGAAGTCAGCAAGCGGGCTTTCGTAAAATGTTCGATTGTCATACTTAGCGATGTCAGTAAATTCTGTAGCATCTACGCTCTCTAGAATCTCCAGTACAATGCTGATTTGTGAGTCTGGATACAATAGGACCTCTTGAGTATCGGGAACTTGACGCAGATCCCTTGGCATTATCAGAGTAGTGTCTGTAGTGTCTTGCATTCAACGAGTCACTCACGATGCGTCAATCAGGCCAACAGGCAATGTAGCGACGATAGCACCACCGAACAGCTCTCTCACTGCAGTAGACATACCGAGGAATTTTTGACTGTTTCAAGCTCTTATGAGAAGCAGCAGGGCGAAGTCTGAAATGAGTCGAGGCCTCGGGAGTCGGTGCCACTGGCGCAGTTGATCACGTGGCCGTGACGGACGCGTTCAACAACGAGCGCGGCCGTGAACGCGTCGTACCTCCTCCTGTCCCCGCCGCTCACTACCACACGCAATCTCGGCTACTGCATGATAAGATCGTGTTGACTCTCCAGATGGCTGAGTTTGCACGTCGCTCTACTCTCCAACCCGATCCTTACAATAATGGCCGCTCGCATTTACCCGTCCCGTCTACTGTGAAGAAGCCGACGCACACTGGGCGAATGTCGATGGCTGGTCCCGCTCTCAGGGGACCGTATCCAATGATGGGGCAAATACCGGGGACAAATCCGCGACAATCGCTGATGCGTTCGCACAATGTGAACCCTTTGTTACAGAGCGCGAGCAAGCCCAACTACGGCCGCACACCGTTGCACAGGTAAGCCTCTTGCATTTGAGTAGATCATGGGTTAAGCTCTGCGGTAATGGAATTAGCGCAAGCTATGCGCTACCGCTATGAGCCGCACTATGGTTTCGTCTTTGTTGTGGTCTCTGCTCCAGACCATGCACTCAAACTCGTCACCATGTATGCAGTAGCACGCGAAGAGGCTCTATGTGGGCAGGTGGTGCTCAAGCATCAGCGCCGATGGGTAGCCAAGGGAGTGTCAAAGATACTCGACCACTGCGAGACCGGCCCTTTCAGGCGAAGATGCGACAAGACATCTGGGCCTGGCTTGATCGCAACGGAATCGAGGTTTCACCACAGACGCTGAGGGAGGTCACTGTCAAGGACTTTCGCGCCGTGTACCAACATCTTGTTCGACTGCTGGATCCGGAATGGCCGTTCGGTGACAAAGAGACCCCTGAAGACCAATTTGCAAACCCCCTGAGAGCTCTACGATATCCATACATTGGACAGTGGGATCGCAAAACTCTCGCAACACCTGGCGCTATGCACGCATGGCCATTCTATCTGGGTGTGTTGCATTGGTTGGCAGAATTGGGGAGCGTAAGCCGCTGTTCCTCACAACTTGCAACAAAGCTGACGCCACATGGGGATAGGCGCGTCTGCACTATCTAGAGAGTAAAGACGTTACTTTGCAGGATTCTGCTCTTATTCCCGATGAATTCGATGATATCAACTATCATCAAGCTCTTGCGCTCGACCATTATACTCTAGCCTACGAGGTGTTCTTGGAGGGCAAGGATGTTTTCCCAGAGCAGGAGAGGATCCTCGAAGAGCGATATGGTAAGCCTTAACCCCTCAATTATAGCCTTGCTGACAATGCCTGGCAGCAAAGAAGGACGAACGTGTTGTTGCATTGGTGGATCGGCAAAGGGAGGAGCTCAAGCAAATCCAATCGGAACTCGAGATCCTCGAAAAAGCACCTGTGCGTATCTCCTCTTGTGGTGGTCCACACTGAGGTACCCACCGCACAATAGGCCCCTATCGAAGAACTGAAGAAGGATAATGGGTTTATCAGACGGGATAAAGCGAAATTCGAGGAGATTCTACGGCGTTGCGAATCAAAGAAGAAGAAACTCATTGACACCTTGGCGCGAGAAAAGGCTGACCTCGCCTACTGCGGTAAATTATATGTTCCGCCATAGGTGAAATTTATTCAACAATTCTCCGACAGTTTCCAATTTGGAGAAACTCCAAGCGGAGGAACTCAGGCTCCTAGACATCGTAAAGGAGCAGAATCTGTCACCAGAAGAGGTGGTCCGAATGAACACCGAACACGAGACGCTCTCCCGTGACATCGAGACCCTCAAGCATAAGATGGCTGAGACCAATCAGGTGGTAGTCAAGCTTGAGGTGTCCCTGACAAGAAAAGTCTCCGATGCGGAAGAAGCACTGGATATGTACACCAATTTACTGTCCAACCTCGGGCTGTTTCCACCTCTTCCGGCGCCCCTGGAAGACGTCGACCTTACGCTAGATCTTAATCCGGCGTCTTCCAATCCACAGAATCTACTCTCGGGTGCCGACATCAGGACGGTGGTGAAGCCCACATTGGGTCGCGTGGCCGAGATGAAGAGAACAGAACGCGCCGATGTGGAAAGTGAACGGATCAAGGTGGATAACGAGCTCGACCAGCTGACGCTAGAATGCGAGAACATGGACGAGGAAGTGGTTGAGGTTACCACCAAAGTCAATGGGCTCAACGATCAAGCCGACGAGCTGCGTGAGGTGTGTGAAGCCGTAAATTACGTCAGACACCGATAGTTCCTGACTCCTCTCGACCCTTCGAACACCAGGCGGCACAACAAGAGGCATTAGTTAGTCATTCTGAAGCGACCCGGCTCGAGAGAGACTTAGCTCAAGCGAGGACGGCTGCTATGGCGAACGGAGTCGGTGTTAAATCCCGGCTTCAAGCACTGCAGATTGCGTGCGTCTGTCGAAATACAGCGTTACTACTCGGGTGTTGACGTGGTCTCTCCATAGATATCGAGAACAGATCGACAAAGTCAACCGGCTCAAAGACGAAACGATGCGCGCTATCATTAAGAACAGTAGCGACATCGTGATGTTCAAGGAAGAAGTCTCTAAGCAGTTGAAGCATTTGCGGGATTTTGCAGAAGCTAATTGACAAGCCTCATTGATTGGTGCGTGATTCGCATCTGATTGTCCTTGCCTCTAACGTCCGGCGGGCGATTTGCCTATATTTATAGATGTATCTATCTTATTTATCGTTATTCATGGTGACTGCTGGTTTCGAACGGCAATCCCTCCAGGACACTGAGCGATGAGAGGAGACAACCATTCCGGTGCCGCTAGCGACCCGAGGTTACTGCATTATGATTCGTTCCCGAGGACTCTCCGCTGCAATGCACGCGAAGCTACCGGATGTCTTTCTAGATGACTTTTGTAGACCTGGGCACCGCTGGAACCCGCTGGGCTCCTCGGTGGACTCCTCGGGGATGAGTTGTGCGCGGCCGGAGGTACCTTCTGTCCGCTCTATCTATCATGTCCAACAGCGCATTCTCAGGAGAGCTGCTCTGATATCCAAATCAAGCGGCTACTCCCACACGTTATGAACGATGAATTATCCCGGTCGCAGCACTCCTACTTCCGTACATGCACACGCCATCGACTGACGGGATGCCCGCCTAGATTGCACGGGGCGTCCCGGACTGTTGCAATGGGGATAGCAGGGTATGGATGCAGGTGAGACCGGACAACAACACCCCACGAGTTTCTTTCGCGTATACCTGCAGTTTTCGCGATGAGGTAAGTGACAATCATACCTCTAAACTGTCAATGATGCTTGAAGCCGTGTATTTTTGGTGTCATTACAAGCTTGGTGCTCGGAGCCGGCATCTCACGCCTGTGTACTACCCAAGCGGCTCCGGCAGCAATAAAGTAAGAATAGTTGCCAGGTATCACTACCTGGACGATCAGACACACGCGTCCCATGTTCACTATGCAGTGGCTTCGAAATCCCCTGGGTTCTTCCAGATCCGAGGGTCTCGCCAAATTGGCTCTATCCAGCTCCATCGGCCACGATCCTTCGCACCAGGTAGTCTCTCACCGGCTGCTGGCACGTTCTCACGCAGACAGGTGGTTGGATCGATCGGAGCTATCTCCAGTAAACCTTGAGTCGGTTTTGCCGGACGTTGAATCACACCGGATGCGGTAAGAGATCGCGTCCGCTTTCTATGGCCTAAATGGCTTGCGATGCGCTACGTCTATGGGGCCGCCAATGGCTGGCGTTCGGGAGAAGACCACTTATCGACATGCCAAGTAACACTTTTGACAGTGTTTTTGTTCCGGCTCGCAACGGTTGACGCTCAGCTAGGCAGGTAGCCGCCCTGGCAGTACAATTATGCCGAAGTACTACGAACAGCAATTGTGCCAAGCGAGATCCAGATCGAAGCAAAAGGTATGAGAAGCAGATGCTAAATCCGTCCGTTGTTGCTCCTTTCAGATTACTTGTGCACGGCACCTTAGACGCTGGATTGTGCCATTGCTGTACGAGGCGCCTTCGGTGGGAAGAGTTGCGGCAAGACGCTCCCCTGGCGAGATGTACTATCATGCGGAGAATGATATATGGGGGTCTATCAACCCTAGATGTCAATCAGGTAGACCGAGTAAGGGCCCACATTGGAGGTGCTGAGACCCATACCCATGCTCATACCGCAGGAGAATGTCGAAGTCCTATCGGGGTCTCGAGGGTTCTGTTTCATACCCACTGATTGTCCCGCAGAGACGCTCCAGATTGATATGTGGTCGGACGCCGCACTCTGAGAGGCTGTGGACCCAGTCAGCGTTCCCAAAGGGCGGTGGAATGGGTGAAGCGATCTACCGATGACAAGTCATCGAATCTACCCTCATGGTTGGCGCCATCGGCGTGGGGATACCAAGTCAAGTCTAATATTGGGTTCTGCAAGCCTGCAAAGGTATAAAACGCTCGCTGAAACGAAGTTTGTCGCTCGGACTCTCCTCTTCCCCCACTTCCCAGAGCCAGGCTTTCGCAAGACGCGAAGATCCATACTTCTCGGTTGCTCTCATGTCGGCCGAGATTCCACCCCAAGGTGCCGCTCCCGCCTATGACGAGGCGGAAAAGGGCGCGCTAGACGTGCAAATTCGACCGGTAGAAGTGACCTTCAAGGATGAAAAAAAGGATCTCGTAGTTACCCAAGTTGTGCCGGTTACTCCAACGCCTAAGAAGGAGTCAACACCGCCAGCGAAGGCACCCGGTAAGCCGGCCAAGCGCAAGGTATCTAAATGGATACTCTGGCAATTGTGGTACAATACCTACCGGTGCGTTTGCAATACTGAAGCCACAGTGCAACTAACCGAAAGCGTGCGTACACAGAAAACTATTCACGATCTCATTTTCGATCAACATGATCATGTTCGGTTTCGCTGTTTCTGGTCATTGGCCGTATGCGAAGAAGTATGGCGGTGCCATGGCAGTAGCAAACTTCAATTTCTCTATCTTGATGCGGAACGAAATTTTTGGACGACTTCTCTACCTCTTTGTCAATACACTGTTCGCGAAGGTACGTCGTACTCTAAGAGCTCTTGTTCGTTATTTGGCGTTGACATATGCCATAGTGGACTCCTATGATCTGGCGGCTTGGGTGTACATCTGTCCTGCAGGTGATGGAGCGTCAACGTTCTCGCGTGCAACTTATACTTACTCTTCCCTTATGATCTAACAGCATCTCGGTGGTATCCACTCAGGGTGTGCCATCTCGGGTCTGGTCTGGCTGACCCTCCGAGTCGTCGATGTCTACCGCGACTACATGAACTATCACGTATCCATCCTGGTCTTCGGTATTTTATGTAACGTGACTTTGGTTGTCACCGCTATCGCTGGTTTCCCTTGGGTTCGCAACACTCACCATAAGTGAGTGGGCAGTTAACATGACATATTCTGGGAGCTCATCTCCATATCAGCGTCTTCGAGAGATGGCATCGGTTCATGGGCTGGACAGGTCTATTCATGTCCTGTAAGCCTGGGTTGTCCCATACCTGGCACGATGAGCCGTGTGCTGAGGTTGCTTCTAGGGCTCTTCGTCATCCTATCCGATCTCTACAACACGGAGACGCATCAGTGGAACTTCACCGGTCCTCACCTAATCCGGCAACAAGACTTCTGGTACGTGATGGGCATGACACTGTTCATTGTCCTTCCGTGGATTTGTACGCGGAGAGTCCCCATCGACATCGAGCTGGTTCGTATGCCGATACGTCTGGCTTTACGAAAGTGCTGAATAGATGCCACATACAGCCCTCAAACAAGGTGGCCGTACTCCGGTTCCAGCGTGGCATGCAGCAAGGGTTGCTTGGCCGGGTTAGTCGTAGTGCCGTGATGGAGTACCACGCATTCGGTATCATTTCGTGCGTGCATCTGAAATTTGGTCCGACCGTGGCGCTGAATCATTCGCACACAGAGAAGGGCCGCACGCCAAGTATCACTACATGGTTTGCGGTGTGCAAGGTATGCACCTTGAGAGTCGGCCTCCGCTGGCACTAACAATACGATAGGTGACTTCACCCGCAGCCTGGTCAATGACCCACCGAAGACGATCTGGACTCGCGAGCTGAAGGTGACGTTCAATGCCGTGGCCACACGCGTGCCCCCATGACTTACAGTTCTTTCAGTTGGCTGGTGTCTCGAACACGTCGGCATTGTACAAGCGTGGCATTCGGATCTGCACTGGTACCGGTATTGGTGCTGCACTTGCGACATGCATCCAGTCTCCCTATTGGTTCGTGCCGCGTGCTCAATGTAATGGAGACGTTACTAACTGCGATATCAGGTATCTCATCTGGATTGGTATGCAAGACAGCCGTCATTCATGCCTTTCGCGATACTCACAGCGATTTGTGGAATATCAGGTTCTGACCAGGAGAAGACCTTCGGTCCCACGATCAGCGGTCTGATTCGTCGCAACATCGAGCCTGAGCGCTACCTGTTGTGGGACAGCAAGGTCCGTGGAGGACGGCCGGACACCAGGAAGATCTTGAAGGAGGTGTATCACTCTTGGAAAGCCGACGGTAAGCCCTATCACTATTCGTAATTGCATAGACTTAGAACGTTCTGTGCCAGTCGTCTTCATCACGTCCAACATGATTGGAAACTCGGAGATGATGCAGGTATGCGAAAATATACGCATCTGGACCGGAGCGGTCACTGACGCGGTACGCAGGCGTGCAAAGAAGAGAAAATCCCATGCTTTGGCACTCTATGGGATTTCGTGAGTACTACCCACGATGGCACAGGAGATGATCTGACATTTGCTCTCACAGTGATGTGGCTGCATGTGTTTCACGTCCCATAGAGTTCGGTTCCGTTCATCATAGACGCGAGCGATCGCCTGCAGCTTCGCCTGCACAACCCTCATTTTCTTGTTTGACAACATCCCTGTATACTATTGCAGTCCCACGATGTATGCATATTATCTTGAGAAACGCCCAGCGGGAATGGCCTGCTCTTTAGGTCGCTGTCACCGTGGAAACGCGAGATCCGTGTGTGAGCTTGCATGGCTAACGAGATATTTATCTCGTCACAAGGCCGATCGTTCAGTCAATAACCGACGGCGTATTCAGTACTAGAGGCAGTAACCCGTGTCAAGAAAACGGTTTTGAGGCATTCCCCGGATACTCATATGTGAGTACAAATGACGCAATGCGCTCGTCCACTATTGTGTTGTTACTGCTAGACCAATCGTGCACTATGCTGGCTGGGAATAGTACAGGACATTCCGGGAACATAATATCCGATCAATGAGCATGCGGTGGGAACTCGTGAGAAACAGCGCTACGCACTGGGAAAATGGGAGGAACAAGCTCACCCAACTAGAAGGGGCAGCGGTCAACAGTTAAGCGGCACGCTCGGAGGTCGCACGCTGACATCCTAATGATAGCCATCCAATATCTTGCCGTGCTTACCCATCCAGGGCCATCGTCTGTTGGGATTTATCGCCGTATTGGGCACCAATTGCACGCCTCTTCGTGCGAGCTCAATCACTATTCGTGCAATGTTACGGGTGTCCTACAATTTCAAATACGCCTTCTGCGTTACTCATTGTTGGCGAGGTTAAGACTAAGGTTATACTGACGTCAATGCCGCTATGTTGACGTCCCTCAAAAGGCGTAAGACCGAGCGCATAGAGTTGGCGAGGAATGTTCAGCGTCACCCGCCGCGACGGGAACTGAAAAGAGTCAAACTGGGGTTATGCTGAGGTATGCCAGGCACGCGGGCATACCTGAGATACTGGCTTCCTGCCGGACGTCAGTGCCTTGCCTTGACCGGCGACGTCCAAATGACGAACAATGCTTCGAACATCGAGTACATCCCCTGTTATCCATGTCGGCATCGCGACCTGCTCAGTGCCTGAGTAGTAGCTTCGATTTCATTGGGTGCATGTGCATGCTCTGAGCTTACCCTCGAGATAAAACATTGCTTCACGACGAAGTCACGTATGTCAAATGGGCCATCCGTGCACCAACAGTAACGGATAAGTCGACGGCCTGTCATGGGCTCGATAAGCCCATGCTTTTCCAAAAATGCAGTGAAGCTCTCGAGTAATGTCGTAAAGGTTGGAGCTCCATTGACCTGTGCCTGCATTGCCAAGGACACGGAGCTCAACTACATAGCCAATGAACAGTTATGAAGTACCAACTTGAGTGATGCCGGTCAGGTTTGTGCAGAAGTCGGATAATCGAGGCCGCCAAGTCGGCTTCACGAAGCTCCTATATTCGTCCACTACCTCAAGCTCCTTGGCTAAGCCATTATGGTCTTTATCTTTCCAGCGTAGCAGGCATACAGGCCATTCCTGTGCATGCAGCTCACGGCATTGAGATAGAACACGGCGAAACTTCGACGCTTACGATAATTTCATTGGGATAGTCGAATCTAGCGGTTCCTTCAACACAAGTGCCCTCGACGTCGAGGACAAGGAAGGCATCGTATGGTTGTTTGGTACCTTGGCGGATTGCTTCTTGATTCACTACTGCAGGTATCTCCGATGCGTTCACAGATACCGTGCGAGACGTTTGAAGCCGAGATTGGTCTCGCAGAACCCCCGACACGTTAGAACGCATGCTCGGTTCGTCCGGTTCACACGACGCGGCGTGTCGCGATGTTGTTTTGTTGAGCCTTATGGCAATGAAGACAGTGAGGATGAGGAGACAAGATAGGACAAGGAAGTTCGGGTCGAGGATCCGCGAGAGCCGTGCCAAAAGCCAGCTGAAGAACGTCGGCATGGGTCAGGATAAGCCTTTGCTCCTCTGCTTACGCAGGAGATTACTTTTCAAGAGAATGGCGGAATAAACTGGGTTTGATGTCGGGGAGGAGGAGCAGGACGGAAGAAGAGCTGAAGCCACGTTGAAGGTGACCCGGCGCGTCGTACACAATCAATCGCGATCGAAAACACGATCACTATAAAGCACGTGATCCAGAATTTCACGGGCGCCTGACGCCCTGAATTCTCGGTCGTCCGACTGTTTCACGGTGTTCTCAGCCCCCCAACACTCGCTTTATTCTCCAGCCTGTCTTTGCCTTCATGAATCAACAAAGGGGGGATGACCTAGACGACGACTTTGTCCCAGACGACCTCGTAGCAATGTCGGACGACGAAGGCGTCCCACAAGCCGGCGATGCGGAAGACATCGGCAGCCTGCTCAGCGTAGATGAGAATGAAGTGGAAGGAAAGGCACAACCAAGCATGTCCACCCCCGCGAGTGCGAAGAAACGGAAGCGCAGGGCAAAAGAAAAGGAGCGCAAGGCAAAGGTCCGGTGCGCTCGAACGTGTATCATTATCTCAGGGAACTAAACGTTTAATTCTTCTGCTCACAGAAGCGAAAACTCGCAGAGACTCTCGAGCCCGTAGAGGGGCCCTCTGTCGCAACGCAGCCTCTAGTTGCGCTTTCAGATTACATATCGTCAGTGCAGACAAAGACGTTCTCCAAGATGTCCGCCATTGAACTCACAGACGTTCAAATACCCGGTAATTTGGTAGTTTCTTGTATTACTCCGACTCCCTAATCGCCTCTCCGGCTAGATAGAGGGTTCGATAGCGGACACGAGCCAATGGTCTGGTTCTCGGAACCTGAACCAGCTGGTGGACTTCATCACAAACAGTATGTCTCTTTGTAATGAGGTCATCCTCGAGCTGACCTGGTTTCACATAGTGCTTCCAACACTGAAGACTCGGTTTGCCCAGAGACCTAAGTCCACCGGCTCACCGACTTTGATATTCGTCGCTGGGGCGGCTTTGCGGGTCGCAGACGTCACTCGTATCCTCAAAGACAAGCGGCTCCGAGGGGAAAAGGGCGGCGACGTCGCGAAGCTGTTCGCCAGGCACATCAAGCTCGACGAGCACGTTGCCTATCTCAGACAGACGAAAATCGCCGCGGCAGTGGGTACGCCGGGCAGATTAGGCAAGCTGCTCTGTGACACAGGTACGTCCCACAAATATGGGGACAACCTGTGAAACATGACTGAGCTTAGCATATTTGCCTTCTCTCGTTTCCAGAGGCACTGTCCACCTCAGCGTTGACACATATTATTCTCGATGTTTCCTATCGAGATACGAAAAAGCGCAATCTGTTGGACATTCCGGAGACACGAGATGAGGTGTTCAAGACAGTGCTAGGTACTCCCAAGGTTCTGCAGGGGCTAAAGGAGGGCAAGATACAGCTGGTGTTGCTCTGAAGATTATATTAGAATCTGATGTAATGCACGATGAGCCTTGGCGAACAGTGCGCCACGAAGAATGGTACGGGTCGAGAGGACAAAAACGCGACACTAGAAACCTGTCGGATTTGTTCGTAGTGTTAGCTGTATAATAGACATTCAGCAACACAGAACAGATGAGAGCAAAGGCAGCGCGTACTCTTGTCCACTTCGGCACCTTGTGGATACCTTTGCGGTACCCTCGTGCATGACGGGTGAAGACAGTATACTTGTCTCGTGCGGGCATTTCATGCTCCTTGGGCAATTCCAAGGCCTTAACCTGTGGAGGACGTTAGTCAAGGCCACGCCTAGTGGTAAATGTAATCATGAACGCACCAGAGAAGCACACTCAACACCACTAGCCCTTACAGCCTCGATGACTGAGTCCACTCTCTTCAGACGCTTCCGAGCGTTGGCTTTACGGGTCGGTGACAATTTCCATGGCGTCTTCCTGTGCAGTAACCAGTAATGAGGATATATGCACCGCAGTAGCCTATGCAGAGCTTACCAAAGCAGACCGCCGAGGCTAACTTGTGTCTGTCTGAACGCCCCGAGCATGCTGCCTTCAGTGTGCAAGGTCGACTGGCTGTCCTCGAGATCGAAGGCCTCGAAAAGATGCCGACTAAGCCATATTGGTCCAGCGACGCCGGGCGTCTAGAGCTCGTGAGGTTCTCCCTTGCCCGTTGTTACCTGCCTGCTCATTCTGCTCGCCCAGCCATGAGCGTCGACGTCCAGATGATGCCCCCACCGGCCATGAATGGCCACATGATGAACGGCCATGCCAATGGGCTTTCCAAGGAGCCAAAATTCGCAAGCGGACTCATTCTGCCCCCGCCGGAGATCAAGTGTGGGTCTCAAGCTTCGCGTGTCTCTGGTGCTTGTGCTGACGGCAGACATTGACCTTTCCAGCCGTCATTGACCGGACGGCACTCTTTGTTGCGAGGTCGGCGAACCCCCCTCAGTTTGAGGACAAAATTCGCGAGAACCAGCGTCAGGACCCAAAGTTCTCGTTTCTCAACCCGGCCGACCCTTATCATGCTTACTACAGACATCGCATGGACAAGGTGGTCCGCGGCGAGCTGGATGATGAGACTGCACCCAAGGAGCAGGTGAAGGTGGACGGTGTCGTGGAGGAAAAGGAGGTCGACAAAGGCGTCGAGCCTCTTGTGCCAGAGTTCGTCCTCGACATTCCCAACATTACCGCCATTGATTTGTGAGCCACTTAATTGCTACGTCTTGGACTGCGCTCTGACGGCCGTCTCCAGAGATATTATGAAGCTTACAGCACTCTTCACGGCCCGCCGTGGACGCTCGTTCCTCGCCGCCCTGTCAGCTAGAGAGGGTCGCAACTACCAGTTCGACTTCCTGAGGCCCACCCACTCCCTCTTCGGTTATTTTAATCGGTTAGTTGAGCAGTACTCGAAAGTTCTTCTGCCCAGCAAAGAGATGCTAGAGCAGTTGAACGAACGTACACAGGAAGGCGCGCGATGGAAGGAGCTCGAGATTGCTAAGAAGCGGGCTCGGTGGCAACATATTAAGCGAGAACAAGAGAAGAAACGTGAAGATGACAAGGAGGCGGAGCAAAGTGCGTCCTTGCCCACTGTATTTCACACAACACTGCTGACATTTCTTCGCAGTCGCTTTTGCTGAGATTGACTGGCATGACTACGCGATTGTCCAGACCATCGAATTCACAGCGGCGGATGCTACTTCTGAGCTGCCACCTCCCATGAGCGTGCAGGAAGTGGAGAACATGACACTCGCACAGAAGAGGATGGCCGCCATGATTATGGAGACAACTGCGGAAGATGTTGAAGCCCACCGTGCTCGCCAAGCTGCTGCGGAGGCGGAAGCTGCAGCAGCAGTGGGAGGTGCCGGGGTTCCCATCAATGCGGGAGCCGACGATGCAGCGATGGACGAAAGCGATGACGAGGATAAGGAGTCGCAAGAAAGAAGAAGACGAGAGGATGAGGAACGGCAGAAAGAATTGGAAAGAGCACGAGCTATCCAGGCCAACTCCCTGGAGGCTGGTGCTCCTATGAAGATTAGAACCGATTATGTGCCCAAGGGTGAGTCTGAGCCCATTCCGTTTATCCGAGGTTTATCTCACTATGGTGACTACCAGTGGGCAAGAAATCCGCGGAGAAGATGACAACATGTACCATTTGTGGTCAGCAAATCCCCGTGGATGAGCTGCAGGAGCACATGCGTATCGAGCTACTCGATCCTAAGTGGAAGTCGCAGCGTGATGTCCTCGAGGCCCGCAAGGCCCAAGCATCCGAGCTGCAGCGCGGTGCGAACGTCGTATCATCGCTCAAGAACCTTGCTCGCACGCGTGTTGATATTTTCGGTGCTGAGGCAGACGAAGAGAAGCGCAAGAAAGAGGAGGAAGAAGAGAGGCTCCGGCGGAGGGAACGGGAGAAGGTTGTCTGGGATGGCCACACTGCCTCGAAGGCAAACACGCTCGACAAGTTCTCGACGAACGTCAACTTCGACGAGCAGATTGCCGCGATTCACCGCGCGAAAGGTCTGGGACCGTGAGTCGTGCGTTTCCGCTGCCCAATAGCCTCTGCTGACCGCATTTATCTCGTAGGCAAGAAGTGAATGCGATTGGGCCGGGCATTGGTCCTGCCGCGGCACCTGCGCCAATGACATCCTTGCCGCCGCCTCCTGCATCGCTTCCTGCTCCTCCTATGCAGGGTTCTGGCGACCCTGCTTATTCCGCGGCGACAGTTGCCTCCGGCCCGCAGCCCGCTTCGCTTTATCCCAGTCAGCCTCCGCCTGTTATGCTGCCGCCTCTGCACTACCAGGGCATGGATGCGCCACAGCCATTTGGTTACCAGCCGCCGCCCGCTTCAGCGCCGGTTATGCACCCCGCTCGCGCCGCAGCGCTTGCTGGGTCACCCGGAGCTGTCGGCACGCCTCCGCAGACGGGTATGGTGCGCTCTGCTGATCAGATGGAGGGTGGTATGGACGAGATTCCACCGGCCAAACGCCAGAAGATTGCCAAAATCCCCGGCACGCAGCTGTATTCCGAAGAGGATTGGATCAACATGCATCCGGTAAAATAGTCCCTCGCTCTTGTCGTGTGGATGGTCATACTGACGTCAGTCATTCCATTTTAGCATCCTATCGCGCTTGTTGTTCAGCTACCAAACGATCCGTCTAAGCCTGAATGGAAGCTCGACGGCCGGGTCCTCACTGTCCCTGATTTACCTCTTAATCTTCTCGTGTCTACTCTCCGCGAGCGCATTGTGCAACACATGGGTACCGCATTACCCGTGTCTCGCCTTCGATTGTCTTATGCTGGCCGTATGCTTGCAAACACGAACAATCTTGCAAGTTACAACATTGAGGACGAGGAGTTGGTCTCGCTCAGCATCAGCGACAAGAAGAAAAAGTAGACGGGATTAGGACCGTGTTTATTAGTCTTGCTGTAACTATACGTACCTTCAGAATGCTTTCTTTTTTATCTCGCACCTTGTAAATGTCTGGCTTACTGCAGCCTGCAACCAAGGTGCTATCAAAATATACCCTCATGATGAATAAATGCGAGCCGAGATGACACTAATATACAGGGGTTACATGATGCGCAGAGTGAGACGACGAAAGAAAGGAATCCGGTGCAAGCGACAAGATATGAAAGAAGAGCGATGGTGAACTACACCTAGAGGATCCGCCTCGCTATCAGGGACAGCACCAGCACCAGAAGGACACAAATCGCGGTGTCCAGCATTACAGGCGGCCGGCGCTGGCTCTGCGTGATCGCTGCTTCCAGGATGGGCAGGTCAGGAGTGCGCGCCGGTGACGCGCTCGGTCGCCCCAACAAATCGGACTTGATGATCTGGAGGCGCGGAGTGGGTATGCGTTGCGAGAGTATCGACGCAGGCGGGCTTGGGCGGGTGGGTATGGGTGCATGCAAACGAATTGAAGGAGTGGAAGGAGTGGAAGGAGTATCGAGGGGAGATGCTGTTGAAAGTGGTGTGTTGGTCGACGAAGACGACTCGGATGCGGATGTGGCTTCCATGAAAGGAGTGGCCGCAGGTGTCGGCATGGGGACGACAAGTTGTCTGGGAGACGGGGTATCTGAAATGGACAGGTCTGCGTCTGACACTGAAGCGGAACCTGCAGGTAGTGGGTCGGGCAAACACTCGAGGTTGGAATGGTTGCAGCGCGGGCAAATCCAGTTTCGTGAGCTGGATCCATACAGTGCATGAGTGCATTGCAGAAGACAATGAGAATCAGGTGGACGTACAGGGCTGCCAGTCGCTTTCGCTCCGCGTTGGGGTATTCGATGGCTCCGACGCCTGCAGCTGCTGTGCCCTTCAGTGGAAAGAATCCTTGCAGCCCGATGATGGCTGCAGAAAGCAGGGTGGACATTGAGACGGTGCCGACCCAGAAGATAGTCTCGACGTGCTCACCTGTCCGAACGCCCCAGGCAGGCTGCCAAAGCTCCTCGTGATCTAGATGGGTCCGGACCTCTGCTCAGCGACCGCACAATCTAGAGTGCCATAACACGCACAGTTCGTGAAGCTGATGCAGATCTTCAGAACAAGTGTGTACGTCAGGCTTGGCGGGGCCTTCAGGAAGAGCGGCAGACAGGCGCACCTTGGTGTTCAACTCAAACCGGCCGTTTGGCGTCAACATCATGATAGAGGGCGGACGAAAGGGGTACTCTGAGGGGAGAAGGATGCGGAAATGGTAAAGCCCGCCTTCGAACTCGGTGCCTGAGGGGCCGCGCATAGTGCAATGCCACTCCTACAAGTATGAGATGAATATTTGACGGCGCCCAGCATATATGGTGGCGTCTACTCACGAAGATATCATCCTACGGTCCGTTTAAACACCGTTTTAGAACTTTCCGAGCTTGAGAAGCGAACTTTACACTGACCTCGAGAGGTGCCGCCGAGTAGTCCGTACATGGATCGTTCGCCAACTCCCTGGCTTCTTGCATGATGCGCTTGACAGCTTACACGGCAACGCGCTTGATGAGCAGCCAGATAGTAGAGACGAGGACGTAGCGGCACACCTGAGTTGTTCTTGTTGAGAGCCCCTCGTGCGGCCATGGCGAATGTGTTGCAGGGTCAGAGTGCAGGTGTGGTGTGGAGACAGTCTCTGGGCGCTATATTAGAGGCGACAGACTACAGCCGATCATGGCTGCCAACGTGGAGGCCAATCATGTGATTGACCCGTCGGGAATTTCCTTACTTGCCTCTTTCGGTCCTTGTCTTCATACCGCACATCGGTCGGTCGTCTCGTTGGCGGCATTCATTGTCCTGCTCACGCCATTCATTTCGGGCTAATAGTGCTCGGTAGCAGGAGGGGCTCATGCATATCAAAAAGCTCAAGGTCAGGCCTCGCAAAGGTGAGCTGAAGCAGCCAGAGTAGTCGGTCACAGAATCCTCATTCTGCGGCAGAGCATGCGAAGGCCGTCTGTGGTGTTCAGCTAGCGAGCATGCTTGGGTGCTGGGCGGCCAGCGGTGACACGCACTCTGTCGGACCGTGCCAGGAGTCGGCGAAGGCACTGTATGAATGCATGCGGACAGCGGTGCGTAGGCATATGTTCCCAGCAGGACTCGACTAAAGTAGGTTATCCCCACAGCCATTAGGCGGGAAGCAGCACGGGTCCACCATCAACTACCACCTCATGCGGCTTGGCAAAATACTCAACAAATAGACTGCACATATTTATAATGTCCGGTTTCACGTTGTCCATGTCAGCACTGATAGACGAGATGCTTCCATGCCTAAGTCTGTCACTCTGGGCGTTGGTCGCCCTCAGGATAGCTAGTGCCGTCTTCCAGCTATCCCTCTAATTGTAGCCTTTGTCTGTATGGGCGTTGCGGCACCAACTATTGGCATACAAAGACGCCTCGCACCACCCTTGCTTTCTCAGCGTAGACAGCTTCCGCAGCTATACATTTGTCATCAATGCTCGTGCTCCCAACGAAAGCAGCGTTCTGAAGGATGTTGAGGCTGACGGACACCGAGGCTGCCAAATCCAGCGACCTTGTGCGCCGCTGTTGTTGTGGTTTGTTTCCCGAGTCACGCTGCGGCTCGGAGTCGCGCCTGGCCTGCGCACGGCTTCCTCACGACTACTTCATTGTGAAGTCGGCCAACCCCTGCTTGTTCCTAAACCACCACCACCACCACCACCACCACCACCACCTTTGCGTCTGTCAGCCCCTTTGTCCATCACCTTCCTCACCACCATCCATCCCAGCCCATCATGAGGTCCAAGTTCAAGGATGAGCACCCCTTTGGTTGGTGGCGCGTCTGCCTCTCGCTCTGATCTGAGCTAATCGGCCGTTTTATGTGCGTCTGGCTACAGAGAAGCGTAAGGCTGAGGCAGAAAGGATCCGGCAGAAGTATCCTGACAGGATACCTGTGCGTTCCCTCGCTCGTGTTGACGATACCTCAGTTACTTAGTACTATCTGTCCGGGCTTCAGGTGATTTGCGAGAAGGCGGACAAGACCGACATCCCGACAATAGACAAGAAGAAGTATCTAGTACCATCAGTGCGTGGACTCGACGTCCTTTGTGAAGTCAAGGATTCTGACGGATCCTGCTCCAGGATCTCACCGTCGGACAGTTCGTATACGTCATCCGCAAGCGTATCAAGCTCGCGCCAGAGAAGGCGATCTTCATCTTCGTCGATGAGGTCCTGCCACCCACTGCTGCCTTGATGAGTGCGATTTATGAAGAACACAAGTGAGTAACTCTGTCTTTACACGCGCTAATTACATTCTGATCGAGAACGTCTGCGTGTTGCAGGGATGAGGACGGCTTCTTGTACGTCAGTTACTCGGGAGAGAACACATTCGGCTCGCAATGAACGCAGATGGCGCTGTCTGCACATCGCATGGCGGACCATGCCTCTCGTCCTCTCTCGTATAGTCTTGGCGGCCTAGAGATCGCGCTGGAGAAGTAATCGTACCATGATAATCTCTGGTGCCTTTAGCACTTGATTCTCACCTCTCCATCCCCATTACCTTCTTGTGTTCTGCCAGTTACCCTTTCGTCGCGCCTGTCTGCTCCTGCAGGGCTGGCGGCTTGTATTTATATCGTTCTTTCACCAGTCTCTTATCGCAGAGTGCAATTATGAATGTATCATGGATCATATATAACTTCGGAGATAGCCTGACATACACACATTTGGTACAGATGTCAGGTAGGGAGCTACTCGGGTCCCTCTAACTGCTTTCCACATTGAATCGTTTCAGCACAAATTATGTGAGAGTGTGTATTTAGTCTCTCCGAGTCAGGATAATCGTATGGCACGGGAATAATGAATATGAATGTGGAGAGAGCGACATGTGCGACAAGGCATTTTGACCACAGTCGTATCCCAGGAACTTCCCGTCTTCATTCACTATTTGTTTAGATGTCTACATGCTGGCTTGATGGTCTATAGCGGCTATGTTGGCTTCAGTGGCTGGGCGTGACTTATGTCTAACTCTGGAATGTTGCACAGATGGAGTTGCAAGCGCTGCCATATCGGAGTGTGGGCTTGCCATCGTGACATGCTATGACGATTCCTTTGCTTCAAGTTTTACACCCATGGAAGAGTCATCCTCGCGACTTCGTGCCGGCACAAGCACCATCCGTTCTCACGTCGCAAGTGTTGACAAATGTGTAGGAAGCTTTAACGTTTCAACTGACACAAGAATTACATAAAATGATGCAGTAGATTTCGAGCCCGAGGCACCCATAGTTTGGTTATCCTGAACTCATGAAGATTTGTATGGCCCGCCGTGGTGCATCTAATGTCCGACATGGTTCCACCGATGGCGTCATACCTTTTGCATGCAGGCCAGGTCACATAGCACCTTATAGTGCTCATGCAAACAGCTGCATGGACCCCTTCGGCAGACGGGAATGTGCTGCTATCACGATCCACAAGAATACAAGGGAGATATCGTAGCCAAAGCAAACGAGCTCGAGGCGAGTTGCAGATTTGCTGAAGAGCGTACTTGAAGAGCCCTTCGAGGTGTCGCTGCACCCATGGCCGAGGAGGTAGGCGTTCAACTGCTTTTCGGATATTGGCCATGGACATGTGAAGTGGCAGAGGAAAATCAGTGTCTAGTCTGAGTTTGAGGCATAGACACCCAAACACTCAAGTTTACCGCAAGAGGGCCGCCACGGGGCCTGAGCAGGTAGTAAGTGATTCGTACAAGTGAGGCCTTCTCTTGGTCTCGGCTGTTTTGGGTAACTTTCTTGAGGGCCACACGGAACGAGGACAATTCTCAATGACTCGACTTATCTGCACAGGCCCAGCCAGGAGGCCCGGGACTATCCTCATGTCGTAGGAGGCTAAGCGGTAGTTCCATATCCCAGCCCTCGTACGTGGAAGGCAGTCGTTCCTCTGTACTTGATAGCTTGAGTACGAGCTTATGAAAGAGTCCGCGATCACCATGCGAGAAAGTGAGTGAGTTGGTGGATACAATAGCTCGCACACTCCGCCGAGACTCCCGTTGAGATCTGACGCGTTTCCCTTAGAACTAGGTATTTCTCAATCATGAAATGTATACTGTTAATTGCATCAACTTGACAGGATCAAGATTCCGACTCGGAGACTTCACCACCAGAGACCGCGTACGCACTGATCACAGTAGTCGCCTTGCCTAGTGTCATTGGCACGGACGACCTCTGGATCGCGAGAATGAATACAATCGACGAGGACGATGCCAAGGAGAGGCCCAGCAGCTTGGATCAGCCACCAACGTCTGTGAGATCTGGATCTCAGATCTCATGCCAGTTGATCGCCTTGTTACGGTGATCTCAGCCGTGCCGCATGAACATGGTGCCCATCGGGTTGTGTCGCCCCATTTACAAGGTAGTATAATGCGCCGCAGGGAGAACCGTTGAATCGTGTTCTCAATGCTGGTGGGGGTGAGCCCGACGGGCTCTCGGATCATGGCTTGGGCGGTGGCGGTCTGAAGCCACATAAGCCACCGCTTTAATTTCCCCTTGCCCTGGCTCGCCACTCGCTTTGTTCTTTGTTCTTGTGGCGCACATCACGCGCGTATAAAGCCTGCGATGAGTCTGCCTTCTCGATTGTCCTGTCCTTCGTTCCCTTTCCCACCTTAGGTAGGGCCCCTCCTGCTTCTCTTGCACTCCAACTGTCTCCTGTGTACTCTCTTGCCCTGTCTGCGACGGGAAGATGGTTACTACTGCGTCTTTCGTTTTTCGCCTAGCTCTATATCGTGCGCAACTCAACCTCGTCCGTGTTCCCGTGCACTGACCTTTGTGGCTTGACTCGGACAGTTCTTCAGCTGACGGCCCATGCACTTCTCATCTTCTTGCTCTTCACTATGATTGCTGATCCCACCGGCAGAGGTGAGCGATATTCTGCACAGGTACTTACAATTTTTTTTATTTACATACCACAGCGACCGAGGGAGCATTGATAACGTTTCACATTCTCGCCATCTTGGTCCTATGCGCACAGTGCGTCGGTCCACGTTCTCGCCGCAGGTTTATCATCTGACTTCCTTATTATAGGGCGGTCCATTTCGTACTGCGTCGCAAGAATCGTGGGCCCGAGCCCCGGGTCACATTCATGTTCGCTCTAGTCGTAGGGTTTATCTCAACACGTAAGTTCATGGTGGTCTCTGTTGATAAGCTGAGGTCCGTTAACAAGCCACAACAACAGTTTGTGCCATCACCGTCCTCACTTTTATCCACGACTTTCCTGACGTGGCGTACTCGGGTGTCTCATTGGGTACATTTGTGGCTATGACTGCTTTGTCAGTCATCTCCGGCAAGTGTTTGGCTATTCATTCACAGTAGATCTCGACTCATTTGTGGCATAGCCGTCATGACGGTTGGAATCGCCTACAGAGAGATGAAGAACATGCCGGACATACACAGGATCACACCGTTCACGCATGATCTTGAAAGCGGAGGAAGAGAAACGCGTGTGCGCCGGACGGCCCCGAGGAGCCAAGGCATACGGCCGCTGGTGCTCCCCAGTGAAAAGCCTCAACAGCCGCAGCCTGTTTACTATGGGTAAAGGCGACGTCCTATCGGAAGCACGCAGTTGTCTTCAGCTGGAGAAGTGGTGTAGGTTTCATGTCGCATTCCATTTATTTACCCATCCCCGCGCCCTCTTCATTCTGTATTGATTACCGACTGCAATGGCGTTCGCATCGACGTTATTTAGTTCCTCTGGCAGATATCGGTAGCATTGAGTGGTATATATCGAGCATAGGTATACATATAAATGCGACATTGTTTATGCAAGGCTTCACGAGGGCGCGGACGATGGTAGGTGCGCGCCAGTATACACGTCACCACTCGCATCCGCCTGCGCGTCGAGTGCCCTCCAGTAGTCGTCTTCATCATCGTCTTCAACCCGAGGACCGTCCTCTACCTCCTGGGACTCGTCGAAATCAGCGCCATCGGCATCGGCATCACCAGCGATAGCCCCGACGTCCAATAGAGAGACGCCATCAACGGTCTTCACTCTTGAACCGGGCATGGAGCGGCTGGTCCCGGCGGGCACAGTAAACTGTAAAGTAATGTTAGGTGTAACAGTGTCAGGCAGCGTAACGATGCCCTCGTCGGTCACGATATAATCCATCGACATCAACGGCGCGACAGAACTGAAGACGACGCTCATGCGCCGGATGCGAGTAGGCTGCGCCTCGATGCTGTGCGACTTCTGTGAGTCATCCAGCCGTCTGCGCTTGGCCCTCCTCTCTTGCACGTCGTCCAAGTATGCCGTCCGCTCCGTGCGGCTAAACATGATCCGCGTGTTGACCTGGTTCGCCCACACCAGGCCTAAACTTGCCTGCTTGCGGCCCTCGCCAGGGATGTTTTCCGCACGGCTGAACCAGCGCGCCTGCTCGCTGTAGATGAGGTCGTGCGACTCGTCCAGCGGCGCGTCTGAGAACCTGTCGACGACGTCAACGACCTCGTTGAGCACTAGCACGGCGATGCGGTGCGCGCTCGCGAGGGCGTGCAGCAGCGTGGAGATCTCGGCGAGGCTCTTCGCGCGCTGGGAGAGCATGTCGCTGGACACCTTGTCGTGGGAGTGGAAGAGCTCAGTAAGCGCGTCGACGACGAGTAGCTTGACGGGCTTCGCGCCCGGCTGGGCTGCGTGCTTCGCGATTAGCGCAGGGAACGTTCGCGCGAGCACCTGGAGGAGTGTCGGGATCTCGTGTGTCTTCATGGTGTGAATGTCCGATAGGCCGGCCGTCTCGGGTGAGAGCCGGGGATGGTTCTCGATGATCTCCTTCATACGAGACGTCGGGAGGGTCGCGCTAGTGGTTAAGTAACACGCAGAGCCGGACAGTCCGCCCTCTTCACGAGGAATCTGCACGAGCAGTGACAGTTGTAAAGCGAATTGTGTCTTCCCTGCTGCACTACACTACGAATAAGCACACCGTGCAGACGCGTCGATGGATGGCTCACCTTTCGCCTGCTACTTCCCAGACCATCCCGGTCCTTATCCCACCATTGAGTGCTTCATCAAGCCGTGCGTCTCCCGTTGTGAAGATCTCATCTTCATCCTCAAATTCTGATAGTGGCTGAGGCGAATTAGCCAGGAAGGAACAAACTACGTCCAAGATTTTCTCCACTTCTCCTGATGTGATCCAGCACCTCTTGGAGATATCTCCTGGCGTTGCAAGCAGAAGATCCGCAACCGTCACGATTTTGCCTATAAAATTGATCAATACGGTTCTCCTGGCCACAGTCAATACGCGCTATATGATGCTCACCCCGCTTCAATGCCGTTTGCTGTGTGTTGGACAGTGTCCGAACATTTGCCACTGTCTGAAACTCCATCTTGTGATGGTAGATATGCGAATTTCGGTCATACAGAATCACACTGGGGGCAGCACGAACCGTGAACGGTGCCCGCAGCCACCTTGTGCATAGCTGATCGACCAGGAATGAACTTCCTATTTAGACGCCGGCATCGACACATACAGTACATAAAGGTACATAATCCAAATTCATAACCGATGTCAAATGTCAATATAGTAACCATCTCATGAAAGACGCTGCCCAATAGACTGCGATGAACTCGACCTCCCCAGAAGGCCGCCCATGACATTGGTGACAGTTTCAGTGATTTGACGCTGTTGCGCTTGAGCGTGCTTCACATAGAAGAGGCGCACGGTGGTACCGTTCCAAATCCCAAGGGGTGTCATGGAGCGGACGTAGATTTCGCCCCAGAGCAAAGACGACAGCCAGATAATGGAAGCGTCCGACCACTGTATCTCGATGTTAGTGTCAAGTACAATCGCTGATAGAGCAGCGACTCACAATGAAACGCCGAGGGGCCAGTGGCGGTGGTTTTGGCAAAACATGGGCCAGATTCGTACTTCGGATGAGGTCAACCACGGCGCCGTTGACGTTCGTCGGGTTAAGGCTGGTTTGTAGTTCCTGAACTTTCGGAAGCAGCTCCGATATCACCAGCATGATGATATCAAGTGGCAGTCTAACAACGTAAGTTAGTATTGGCATAGTCTTAAGGAGGGAGGCTAAAACTGACCCTTGTTGCCATGAGGTGACCTGGGGGATTGAAAGCTCAATCACCATCTACTGGTAAAGAATAATGAACAGACGCACCCATTCTTGGGTAGGCACGAAGCCATTCCGACCGACTGCGGTGGCGGCGACGCTCTCCAGACTTCCACTTACATCAAGAGACAACGAGCGTCCCGCCGCCCTCATCTTGCCCCTGGCTTTCTCAGAAGGCTCCGGGCGGCTTCGATTGAACCCCGGATGCTCTGTTGCGGTCGGGGACATTAAGGGCCTGATAGTGGCAGGATCCTCTTCCGATGACGACTGCGGTGCTTCGGCGGGATCTTCGGTTGGGTCAGATTGGCTGTGCAGATCGGCAGAGCTGTCGCTCTCGCTGCGTAACAGTCTGGCCTTCTCGTCTTGTGGTTGTTCTTCTTCCTGGTCGATCGCTTTGTTTTTGCCTTTGTCGACGGCACCCCCGGCCGTCCGCGCACGTTCCTCTTTGGCTTGCTGGATCCGACGGATCTCCCGCAGCCCACGAACGAGTGTAAACGTGCCAAGATCCTCGAATGTCTTATGAGCATGGAGGATCCCGTACACCAAGTTCGGATTCTCAGAGAGATTTCGGAGTAATACAGCATTGAAGGTCTCTAGCCTGGGTATAGATGAGCGCGAATCAAGACAAGACGAAAGCTTTTCATTACATGAAGAAGAGAAGTCTTGGATGACCTTCGTCTGAGAGCAGGAACGAAGGGTTTGAGAACGCCGTGAAAAGTTGTACCAGGCGTGTCGATGACGTGATACTCAAATTCTTGAAGTAGGGAGCAGAATTCGATAACGCGATGATAAACGCGGGGTACAACGAAGTGAGCGCTCCCGAAGTCGTGGCTACCATCGCATATATGGCCTGAAAGACGGGTTTCATCGATCAACGTGAGTCGTTATCTCTTATATAGTGACCTACGTGAATCATGAAGTCAGCTGCCGTACCAAGATTGCTCCATTTCGGCGGGACTTGTGCCTTGATCAGCGAGGACAATTTCATCCCAAACGCTTGTTCTGCAGATATGCTTTGCACGATGTAGGAAATAGCACGGCAGAGTCCATGTTGTTCTGTCGGCACCGCATAAGTGTTATTCGAAGCTGAGCTGACACGACATTACGTGGTTTATCCTTGATCTCAATGCCATAGCACAGTAGGTATGCGAGGACGTCCGTGGCCTTGTCGGAGTCTAGAACGTAGGCACGGAATTTCTGCAGCATCCCCAGTCAGTTGCCGTAGTATGACTACTTGTTGAAAACACACCTTGTTCAGGTCGATCAATTTCCATAACAAGACGACTTGCGGAAACCGTAAGCACTAGACGATTGCATGAAATACGAAAGACGTACTGGTCTCCACTATATACGGGACAGACTTCTTTGATCCAGGGAGGAGGTTATTGATGGACGCCATCTGTTCCTCAAAGATGCCTGTGATACCTTCCAGAATGAATGCAAAGTCTATTGGCCGGTGCTATAACACGCCTAAGCACCCCCTTGATTGAAGGACTCGGACAACTCACGAGCTTAGCAACGAAGTATCGGAAAGCGTTCGTCCGTGCCGTGGGCCCTGCTGACGATCCCGCATCGCCATCGGTAGCACTGTCACGCGCTGTTCCACTCTGGAAGTCCAACAGGGTACACAGAACCTGTAAGCAAGTTGACACTAGTGTTGTTTTAGTATCCTCGCCCTTGAATACTAGGTGGTTGTACGGAAGTCTCCCAGCCATATTGCCCATACTCATGACGTTGTGTGCACGGGATGAGCTCATGATGGTATTCAGCAGAGAGCAGAGAACGGTGAGAACGTGGCGTCTGGGCGTACGCTGGATAAAATGGAGGGAATAAAGTGATGGAAGCGGCAGAAATGCTGAAGGAGGGACATAGATTGGTTTCGACAGCAAAACCAGAAGCAAGCGTAGGACTTCTGTCCTATTGTTGTCCAGAGCTTGGCTGGAGCCAGGATCAGTAGTAGACCCAACGCCCTTTCCCCTAAGTGAAGGTGAATTGTCTCATACGCGACGCAATGGTCAGCGGTGTGCGCACCATATGACATAATTAATTTTGTAGTGGTCCACCTGAAGTTTGGTGGGAATAGTAAAGCCGCAGCAGAACAGCAAGTCAACAACGCAGCCAAAGAGCTTCTCAGCCAGGGAGGGCAGTGTCAGCTTAGGCTTCTCTTTGGGACCGGATGCGTGCCGTGACGACCCTTCCTGTGGACCATCTTCGTCCTCTTCGTCGTCGTCGATGACGAACTGAGCCCCAGACGCATCTGAAGCTTGTACAGATTCGTCCTCCACGACCTCCTTCTTCCAAAAGACATCCATGTCAAATCTGATCGTCTCACTCTCCAGCTCGAAGACTGTAGGCAGGACGCGCTGTAGCACGCGTATGCAGTTCAACACCTCCTTGGTGGTGTTTCGCGGTGATAGTGTCTTCATGAACGAAGAAGCGAGCGACGCGACGGATGCATTGGGCGCGCTGGGGAAGGTGTGGTCCGATACGAGGTTAAATAGGCGAGATGTAATGACGCGAATCAACGTCGCGACGTTCTCAGGCGCATCGAACAGGGCACGACGGACTGAAACATGAGTTGATCACAAGCGCAAGGCGAGCGACTCAGCAGCGTACCATCATTATGAGATATGAGCGTGAACACGTCGGAAGCCGAGTCAAACAATGTAACATACTGCAAGTCCAATTTACAGTTAGAGATGGAGCTTCGGAGGCCTGCCAACACTCACTTGATCCCAGTATGAGTCGGTGGCAGGGATATTCTGGAAAACTCAGTCAGAGCCGGTTGTTCATGTGATGCAGTCCGAACATACACGAGTGGTAGCGAGTTTCGCTATGCCAGTTGGCTGACTGCGGAAGGCCAGCTTCGCTTCATCGCCAAGTAGGTTGAAAGGCACAGTGATCTTCTGGGGAAAGCTTGCCAGCATTGTGCAGCTCTGCGAGGGCTTGTGTCGCTTAGTAGGATTTGCAGCACACACAGTGACCGTTGGTGAATTGAGTAGAGGTCGACCCAGGGCGGTAGCATTGGCATAAGCGCCGAACTAGGTGATCGGGCACCGTGACCTCATCATTAACGTGTTCCTGTGCAGCGCCCATCCCGCCGGGTTGCCCGTTACGCACACATACTCTGACAAACTCCAAAAACGGCTCTGGCCCCGCCAGAGTCACATCTTGGGGCCGAGTGTCGATACTTCAGTATACCCGCCCCTGTCGCCGTACAGGGGCTTCGGGCTTTCGGCGACCAAGATGTGCCATTTTGTCCGCTGAGTCTGTCCAGTGCTGGCTATGTTCCTCTCTGTGCCAGTCCACCTCGCTGTAACCCATCTTGACTAGGCAGTACCAACTCATGACGTTCGACAATCCACAACGCCGAGCAGCGTACAGTCCCGGATACTTAGTCTCATGTGCAACTGCCGGATATGCGCTTGACGCGCATCACGTGGTCGCGTCGTCGAACGCGTCGGGCGCGTCGGACGGCGGATGCAAACGTTCTCCTCGACTGTCGTCACATCCGCCGAACGAGACCGGTCTGGTTATCCAGAGAACGGACCGACGGAATGATGTACCTGCGTCGGGGCCGGAAGCGGCTCTCCACAGTCTGAAGCTTCGTCTGGATGGTATATAAACAGGGAGAGAACGCTACTGTGAGTTAAGAAGATTTTCATCCGCTCTGCATCACCCTACTATTCCATCATGCAGTCCTCATCATTCAATTTTCACGCTCTAGCTGGCCTAGGGCCCCGCAGATTCTCGCTACCAGACATTACGAGGCGCGCTCCGAGGCGGCCTGAGCAGAGTCGCTCAGATCTGACTGGTTATGATGCCGACTCCGAGGCAGAAAACCAGCCACGCAACCGCAAACCCTCGACACGCTCACTACCTCCCTCACTTCATGACATTGCGATGTCCGCGCGCGCCGCAGACCAGATGGCCATTCATGTCGACTTTGCCCTCGCCCTCACGAGGTCTACAGGACGCAGAGCCCGTACAGCACCACACACACCAAGGAATATGCCGCCCACAAGGTCGCGAGCTCCTGCACGGCACTCCCAGGAGAACCTCATCCAACCCCTAAGCGGTCTCGGCCTTGGCCTGCCCACTACACACCACATTCACGCCGACCGCTCAGCTGTGGCTGAACCCGATAGCACCACGTCGCAGCTCAGCGACCCAGAACAGCCGCTTCGTGCCTACCCCCTACTGCCACCCGGTCTGTCGAACACGGACTTTCCGCATGGCACACAATCCCCTCACCACTTATATCCGGATACTTCCTCGTCGTCATCGAATTCGGAGACCGATAACGATCTAGAGGATTATTCGGACATTATTATTGACATCGTCCGTCCGACGCCCCTCTCGTCACATTCTAGCGCCTCAGAGTACCCCTTTTACGGTGACATGTCGCCACCGGGAGCACCGCGTCTGGAGAGCATATGTCGCTTCGAGACCGAACCTCTGTACCATTAATACACATCGCCGTATTATCTACGATACGAGATTTCAATAGAGTTTCTCATTCTTCATGATCAACATCAAGAAACTAGCGACGCATTAGACTTTGTCCATATCCGCTCCTCACTGTTAGTTGACCCGTATAGCTGCCAGAAGTCTTTCACGAGTGTATGTCGTCGCGGAACTCTATTATGTGGCTATATCATTGATCGAACATTGAAACGTAACCATCGCATCCACACCATTTTAATCGATTCTTGAACACACTTCATGTCTCCCCTCCAGCATTCATACCTTCTATCGCAAACTGCACCGTTCTAACCGCTAGTGTCCGCATATTGAGCAGCACCAAAGTGCCTGTCTCCCTGAATCCCGGCGCCAACACAATCCGACACCGCTTTATACCACCCTCCCCCTCCATGTCCTCCTCTCCCTCCTCGCCATCTACCTCCATGTCTACGTCTCCACTCGTCTGCTCCCCACTTTCTCCCCGCGTCGGCCCCCACCCTCGCTCTTCCACGACGCGCGTGCCGAACCGGGGCTGGCACCCGACAATATACACGTCAGGCGTTTCACTGATCACAAACGGGTCCGACCCGAAGTATGGATGGCACCAGAGCGTATCCGGCGCAGTTGGCGCAATGTGCCGCCATCGCAGGCTCGCTTCCGCAATAGACAGGCGTGTGGATAGCGGGGAGGGGAGGTACTTGAGCATATCGTCCACCGGCTGTCCCGAGGAGACGAGGAACGTGCGGAACGGTGTCGCGCTTACCGCCTGTGCACTTTTGGAGGCAGACGCGGATGCTTTTTGTTTGCCCTTCTCGCCGTCGGGGGTGCCCTCTGTGTTGGGAGAAGGGCCGACACGGAGGTATGTCGGGTTCGTCTCACATGTGAAACTCGCGAACGCAGCAGCACTGCCGAACATCGCACGCGGGAAGGGTTGTTGAGGCAGGAGGGTACCGGCGGGATCCGACGCGCCTGGAAGAACGTGGATGGGCATGGTACGCGCGATATCTGTAATATGGGCGGCGAGTGTTTGCGTAGGATGAGGCGAGAAATTGGCAGAGTCTTGGCCGTAACGTCGCTGTTAGGTGTGTCAATACAAATATACATATTTGTATGTAACATAGCCACCAGGAATAGGATGTAACAAGTGAGAATACACACCCCTTTACGCTCCATTTTCTCCTCAGGAACTGTCCCGTCGGCATTGAGGATATGAGCCAACGAATTTCCAGCGACAATTAATCTGGAGATACGCGCAGCCGAGGCCTGGTCGTCGAGACCACCAGCCTCACCTGTCAGATATTCTGCCAGCATCTGAATCTGGGCGTCCGCTGGTGATGTCGAACCAATTTCTAGCCCAGACAGGATAGCAACCCATTCGTCTTGCTCCTGTCCTGGAACTGGCGTTTCTACACACAACTTCTGAGTGAGGTACAAGTAATATGATTTGGAAGAGACGCACATACCGTCAACATCCATCTTTTCGGCTTTGCCTTCCTGACTGCTGCCTGCACTGGACTCCCCCCAGTTGAGGTCAGAGTATGGTTGTGGAGCCATTCCAGCAGTGCATATATCCACCACCTCGAACTCGCCACCGCTCGTCTCTATACCAAGGATGCCGAGCACAACGCCTGTAACAAGACGGGCGGATCGTATACGTTCTCCCACAAGCGCAATTCTACCAGATTCATCTTCAAGCATAGGCTGATCATCTTGGGAGCAGTATGTCATGCGTGTTGCAGGTGCGGGGAGCGAGTGCTACAGGTGCAAGATCAGGCGGAAATGCATGGGCAACAAAAGCGCAAGAAAACCTACATCGCGCGCAAGGTCTTCAAGAACATTGGGTTTCATCGGCATGTCCATATATACAGTGCCAATAACGTAGGACAATTGTCCTTTGATTACGTCGAGCACGCGGCCGACATAAATCGGCCTACCTGCGACGTCATGCCACCTCCGCCGAGCCCGTGCCATTACATATTTGCGGAGCACTTGCAGCCGCACGTAGTAGATACTTGAGTATTGATGTTTGTAAGAGCGATTCGCTGCACCAAGTACAAAAGATGGAGTACGGGGAGAGGGGGCTACGACTGCCGTCGGAGGACGGGTAAGGGGCGTCTCGGGTACGGGTCTGAACAGAAATGAGCGTACTTATTCGGTGGATTTTCAGGGTACGTACATTGTATCAACAGTAGACATTTGAATATACGCGTCAACGACTAGCAACGATGAGCAGCTGTGGCGGACGACTGAACGACGCGTCGCGCGTGAACGCGTCAATATTCGCGTCGTGAAAGTGTGGCGTTGTTTGGTTAGACGCCTATAGTATGGATAATACACAGGCGGCGCTGAGATTGAGTTCAACCCGGGTTCATCAAACAGCACGCTCAACCCAGGATGGACCGGGTTTTTCCCCGAATTGGCACCGCCGGGTCTTTTCTGATTCAGCCTGGCATTGGGTAAAACCTGGCACCCGGTGACCTGCGCCACGCCAGGTTCAGTGGACGGGCCGGACAATGCCGCTATTCCGCGAGCACCCCATAATTCCCATAAAATAATTCAAATAAATAATATATATATTATCCTGTATTCTACGGACATTCGACAGCAGCGCAAACCAATAGCTACTAGCTACATATATACAAGTGTGTTCAGTATGTCAGTAGGTCAGTGTGTCAGTAGGTCAGTAGGTCAGTAAGTCAGTAGGTCAGTAGTCAGTAGGTCAGTATGTCAGTAAGTCAGTAAGTTCGGACGTCAGTAGGTTGGGACGTCAGTATTGTCAGTATATGATTAGTG